GTTTCCTGACGTCCATTTTTATGAAAAGCAGAACTTGCTGGTGTTAGTTCAGTCTGTTTTCCGTCATCATGGCCATGTACCTGCTGCTCTTCATCTTCAGTAGTGAGTACTTATCTTATTGTAAACTGTCCACTTAATGTACCTATTATGTGTATGAAAATGTATTTTATTATAGATTTATCTGTAAAAATATCAGAAGAATATCTTTGAGACACTAAGCAAGAGCATTAATCCATATTAATATTTCATAAGATTTTGACTGTTATAGTGAAAAACAAACAAAACAAAAATGGTGCTGTAAGTTTTCATATCAAGGATCTTTTAGATGAGGCTTTTTCAGCCCAGAGAGTCCAGAGCTCTAGACCTGTCCACTCTGAGTCTGGGTAATACTTTAATATCCAGTTACTGTGCTGGTCTGTGTAATCCCTCAGTCGTCCAGGTATGACCCATAACAAAAGAACAATTCAAATCTGTTGACAGAATCAAACATTTCTTTTTGATAATTTCTGTACTTATAGATTAAGATGTTTATTTTTTCCTCAACTCAAACAGTGGTTGTATTACTCACTCACACAGGTGTTGTAGACAATAGTTCTCAGTGGTACAGCCTCTCCTCATGAGTTTACTAAAATACAACTTTTGCCATAAACATTTGTCTCAAATGTGTATGTTTGTTTTTATCTGCAGGTTTGTTCTGCTTGACCAGAGGACAAGGTAAACCCATGATTGTCTGAAGTCTGATGGTGCTTATAGATCTACTGATCAGAGACCAAGAGTGTAACATTTGACCTTGAAGGCGTCTAAACTTGGTTACACAATGACATGCAGTGTCTTGTGGTCATTTCCTCTTGTGAAATGGTGTAAGTGGGAGGGCTCTGCAGGTCTCCTGTCTCTGAGATGATCTGATCTGCAGTATTTGAAGTCCTCCATCTTAGGTCCAGTTCTGTGATGTTGGTGAGGGACAGAAATCTCTATACAGTGTGAAAACCTGTGTTAATGTTCAGAGAGGGATGACTCAAACCAAAAAGAGAAGTGTGAATGATTGAAATGTTTGTAACCGATGAGAAAAACCTGAGGCATTATTGAATCATCTAGTTAGGCTTCCACTGATCTGTTTGGTTTTGAAACATAACTCTTCATCTTACTCAAGTTAACCTGTTGATCCATACATAAAACAGACTCCTGATCTAATCCTGATGTGTTTTTCTAGTCATGTGTGAAAGAGAATTGTGGATTATGACGGCAATGTCTTGTGCCTGTGGTGTCGTGATCGGGATTGTGGTGGTGATTTTTGGCTTTTTCTGCTCAATCAAGATAGAAGGTAACAAATATTCTGTCACTGATGTAAACATCTTCACACTGGGTTCACGCTCAACACGGTGCACAGTACCTGACAACAGGAGCTCACTTTCACATCAAACAGTACTTGTCTAATTTCTATAAAAAGATCCAGACTGCTGGTGGGTTCTTCCACTGCCACACAGTTCTCAGAGACTAGAGTAACATTGATTTATTAAGTGTGTTGTGAGCTGCACCGATCCGTGTTTAGTGTCAATCTGGCCTAAGTGACATTTGCCCTGCTGATCTCACAAACTGATTTCTTTTCTCAGGCAAACATCTCCTGAGAGGGTATGTGTGAATAATGCTCGATGGATTTATGTGTGTCAACTTTTATTTATTTATTGTTAATTTGAAAAAGGACAGCGACATCAAACACAGATTAACAATTTAAGTCTTCTGATACAGTGTTTATAACTGAGACTAATATACAACACCAGTCCCCAAAAGGGCTTTTCAACAGTTCAGATTTCACAATAAAACAATATGTAGAAAAAGCAGTGAATTTGTCAAGAGATTCAAATAGTATAGAAAGATTACACACATACAAACTCATGCACAGTACTACAGGTACAAACCAAACAGTAAACTACAAATGTGGTGTTATAATACATGCATCATGAATTTCGGACTTTCGCTCATCGCGCAATGCATACTGGGAAGGATTTTCCAAAAAAGTGAGCATCAAACATGTTTGATTTCACAGTGGAATGCGTCTAAGTGTCGATGTGTCAAAGTCGATCTTTTCAAGTCTTTTGAACCATATCACTTTGTTTCTGGTTCTGATATTGTCACATTTTAGTTTTGGGATTCAGACATCGTGCTTGTGTGGTTGTTGGATGTGTTAACACTGGAAAACGGGCTTCGGAAGTTTGCGAACTCCATAAAAACAAAAGGGAATCAGATGTGTGTGACTGTAAACCACACACCTTTGACTGCCTAAGAAATCATCCCGAGTTTGCAGTGAACATTTTGTATGTGGAGGGCCATCAAAGAGGGATCCCGATCCCTCACTCAACCTCGGTTACGAATTTAAAAGGTCAACGCCAAAGGGAAAGGCACCAGCTGTTCACCAAGAAACACCTTCCACTGCAAAGAGACCAAGACGTGATGTTGCTGTAAAACCACAAGAGCAAGAAAGTGCAGCTCAGTCTGTTTGTCTTCTGCTCCTCTCCATTAACAAACAGGATCCACATACAAAATGTTCACTGCAAACTTGGGATGATTTCTTAGGCAGCCAAATGTTTCCTTTTTGGTCCTTCCTGTGGATCAATCCTGCCCATCGCCTTCGCCTTTCACTATTTTTCAATTTCACTGGGAAGAGAAACAGTTTGAACAGAGGTTTGCAGTCACACACATCTGATTCCCTTTTGCAGTTATGAAGTTCACAAACTTCTTTCTTTTCTTTCTTGAGCCATTTTCTGCTGTTAGGATCCAACAACCACACAATTATGATGTCCAAATCCTATAAACTAAAAATATCAATATCACAACCAAAAACAAAAGTGATATGGTTCAAAAGACTTGAAAAGATCGACTCTGACAATAGATGCATCCCACTAGGAAAACAAACATGGCTCACTTTTTCGGAAAATCCTTCCCAGTATGAATTGTGCAATGACCGGAAGTCTGAAATTCGTGATGTATGTATTAATGAAAGATGTATAGTATGTTTATAGATCTATACTAGTAGATCTTTCCATTGCTACACCAGCCCCAACCATCCTTTGGTTAAGAGGAGTCAAACTACTTTTGCCAAATGAATGAATTACCAATAACATTGTTCTGTCCACCTTGTCTGTTTTTTTTAAAGCTCTCAAGGCAGTAACCCAGGTAAAGAGCAGCTTTGCACATGTAACATTAAAGGGACAGTTCGGAATTTTGGACAGAGGACCTCATTTCCTAGTGATCCAGAGTGTTGGAGATGTGTGGAGACACTTTTTGAAAATATTTCCATCCAGTCCTTGTATTTGCAGAGGTCACTGGTGCTAGACTAGTGCATGTCAACGGTCATAGTTATCCTGCCGCTAAAAACAGTCTTACCCACTCCACAAAACACCCGAAGAAAATCTATTATTATGCCAGACTGTCCATGTAAATGTATGTGTTGATAGAATAATGTTTGAAGTAACACCAACCTTGCATTTGAAGGATTTATGTCTGAGCAGCAGCGAGTTGTTCTTCCTGATAAAAAGCTCAACAGTGGTGTACTGATATATGAGAAAATAGTCCCTCAACATGCGACGATTCATGTGATGCAAGGTTAGTTTTATTTCAAACATTATTCTGTCAACACAGACATTTACATGGACAGTCTGGTGTAATAATAGATTTTCTTCGGGTGTTTTGTGGAGTGGGTAAGACTGTTTTTAGTGGCAGGATAAATATGACCATTGACATGCACTAGTCTAGCACCAGGAAAGACTGGATGGAATATTTAAAAAAGTGTCTCCACACGTCTCCAACACTCTGGCTCACGAGGAAATGAGGTCCTGTGTTCAAAATTCCAAACTGTCCCTTTAACCTCATGAAATTACACAGCATAATGTACATTTCTCTGTTGTAGGTCACAAGAACACACAGGGTGGGGGGCAGGTAAATGAAACACTATAACACTATAATGTTTTCTCAGTACTTTCTGCTGTGTTGAAGATGATATAGTAACTTATTTATTTTATTTATTTATTTTTAACCAACCTGTTGAGTGTAATATTTGATGTTTCTAGTTTCCTGTTGACATAAACAACTCTGCACCAGCGTCAACCATCTACAGTTCAACTGGTAAGGCCCTGCTGTTGTTGTTTTTTTTATTTTTTTTTTTTGGTGATTATTGATTGAAGTCTATGTTTTACAGGTTCTGGGGCTGTGGACAATAGGCCGATTCACAATGAAGATGAGTACGATGATGCGGGGCCCAGTCGAATCTACATGCCTTTGGTATGACGACTCATTCTAAACAGAGCTAATCAACAAGTAAAACACAGGCTTAAAGGTGCATTGTGCAACTTTTCACCTGCTTGTCTCCATGGAGATGTTATTGCTTTGCTTGGAATGTTCCATGGTATGACATTAGACACATCTATATTGCATATTTATTCATTACAGATGTTTCTATTGCTTAAAAATACACTAATGATCTCTGTGAATAGGGTGGCCTCTCCACAGATCTGACCTATAATGTAGCCTATAGTTGTCTCCCCTCAGGGAGCTTAATCTCCACCATGGAACATTTTAAACAAAGCAATAACATCTCCATGGTGACAAGCATGTGGCCGACCATCCTCCAGAAAAGCTGCACAGTGCACCTTTAAAGCTGACAGTTCATACTCATGTTTATGACACATATTCTGTTGTTCATGTGTTCTGCACTATTTACTTCAAAGCTGCTCCTTTTGTTCTTCAGCTGAGTTCAAATCTCCACTAAATTTTTATTTTTAATTTTTTTTTACTTGAATGGTTCATTGTGAAGCACTCAGGCATTTTTAAATGTGCTTTTGCATGATGGTTGATAATCTCTCTTATTTGCTTTGGTATGAGCATCGAACATGAATCTCATCATCTTTTCAATACTTTATGAAGATGTGAGTCTGGTCACCGCTGAATCTGCCCAAGTTCAGATGGGAGTGATTGACAAGTGGATTAGTCAATCGAGGACATACATGGTTTTGTTTTTGTGTATTAAAACAAACATGGCTGCTTATGGGGGAAAAGAAAAAACTTTGCAGATTTCTGCAGAATCAGTGAGCAAAGCACTAAACCACATAAGCCACTGAAACAGACAAATCTGATTGGATGAAGCTATGAATCTAACTTGAGGTGTGACAAAGGGAGTGGTGATCAGACTGATGTCATTCTGAGTTTGCCAGGCAAGCCAGTGCCCAAATACTTATTGATTTATCACTGATTGTCTAAAGTGAAAGCTCCAAAAGCTCAGACTGAACAGTTGCAGAACTGAACAAATGATAAAGCTACACTTAACACTGATGGACCAGGCTTTATGTTCAGTGAGTATTTTTATTTTCACCAATGTGGAATATTGTAAAAGTAGCACTTTGTGACAAAATCTGATCACTGAGCACTGTCTGCATATAATTATAAAGCGTTTCATCAATCACCAACTCTGGAGAAGGAGCCATAAGCCTCAGTACAGACTGACAGAGCGTCTACACTGCTTCACTTTGCTGTCTGAAAAGCAGAGCCCTGTACATGCCTGAACATTCATGTGAACAGTAATGAAGTGCCAGAGGGTTTGTGAGAGCTAAGACCTACCTGCTCCTTTTGCAGTTTGAAAATTGAGTAATGCAGTTTTAAATGAAGTTTTAAGTAAGAAAGTAAGAAAATGTGAGTAATATACTTGTGTTGTGTTTTTTCTTTTGTTTTTAGAGGAAAACAAGTGATGTCTATGCCACTATCCATAACCAGCAAACTGCAACCCCAAGGAACATCAACCAAAAATGGTTGTAATTTGTATTTATTTGTTCAGACTTTTTGTCATGAGCATTTTTGCATTTGTTTCTTTGTTTTTCTTTTTTTTTTTATAAAGGATTAAACATGTCATTCTCTCATTGAAAACATACCTGGTGTTCTATTTTACAGTGCTGGGTCTTCTGTGTTTGCTGTTTTGTGGTTACATCATACGCATTTGAAATTGTGGGTCACAGGTTAAAAAGAGACACAGGAAGTTGTCTCTATGCACAGTAACTTGCCATTGCCTTGTATTTAGGGTTTATTGTTTTCTCTGGTTTTTGCATGTGATAAGATATTGGGGATGGATTACTAACTTTTTAATATTGTATGTTTAATATTTCCACTGTAAACTGTAAGTCTGTTGATCACATCTCTACATCTCACTCAGTGATTAAAACATTTGCATAAGATCACATCTGTAATTTACCGAAACATCATATTTTTACTGATGTAAATACAATATCAGCCGTATTGGTTGTTGTGAACAATAATCACATTGTATTCATTTCATACTTACAGCTTGCTACAACTAAAGTGTAAAATGTTCTGCTCAGTAACTTTGAATGATGCTTGCTGCTCTGTTTTATGACACAAACTGCAGAAGCTCTGGAAGATTCTCAGCTAAAGATAACATTTATAATTCGACAATACAACATCTTTGATTAGATTCTCAGACCCTCAGACTCTTAAAAACCTTCTGCTAGAGGCTTATAGTCTCTGAAACCCTCTGCTGGACGTTTATAGACTCTCCGAAACTCTCTGCGAGGTGCTTATAGATTCAAAAACCCAGAAACCTTCTGCTATACGCTTATAAACTCTCAAAAACCCTCTGCTAGACACTTATACTCTCAGAAAAAATGCTAGACGCTTATAGACTCTCAAAAACTCTCTGCTAGAGGCTTATAGACTCAAAAACTCTCTGGTAGACGCTTATACACTCAGAAACCCTCTGCTAGACACTTGTACACTCTGTTTTTTGCCTGTGTATCAACCTGATGCTTTGAATCCACACTCTAACATCATTAAAGGTACTGCTGAACGATCTCCGTGCTTCTGCGCCTGGTTTTTCTTTTTGCAAGATACAACAGAAATCAACGTTGTTTTGTCATAGAACAGAAATATTATTTGTTTAGAAAGTTATTGTACTGCTGTAGTATTATAATGCAAAGCAAAATCACAGTAGTGAACTGTAGTGCTTTTAGTGTATGGGGAACAGCACGGTGTTTCTGTGGTTTTCCTGACGTCTCTTTTGAAGTTTGACACTTTTTGACGTCTCCTTTGCTTTGAGCTTAAAGTCACTTCAAGTCTTTAAACCAAAATACCAAATACAGCTTAGATTTTTGCATGACTGTACTTAAAAAGTCATGGTATATTTATATATGAGTATGTGTATAAGAGTTGTAGAAATGCAAATTTTTCCGGAATCGTTGCCAACACAGAAGGTATACTGTGTACTTCACTGATTGGCTGGTGCCCGAACTTGCACTTCCTGGGTTTTTGTGAACCATCTAGTGTATTTTGATTCCTGACCTAGTTGCTGGAGAGAAATGAAATTGAGCGCAGGCACTAGATGGCACCAGCCTGACTACGATCACCTAGCCACCTTTGTCTGAAGCCACCTAGTGCCTCTGCTCAGTTTCATTTCTCTCCAGCAACTAGGTCAGGAATGAGAATACACTAGACCAGGGGTCGGCAACCCGCAGCTCCAGAGCCGCATGCGGCTCTTTAGCACTCCCCTAGTGGCTCGGTGGAGCTTTTTCAAAAACGAGTGAAAATGGAAAAGTAATGATTTTGTTGTTGTTGTTGTTGTTGTTGTTGTAATATTGTTTCTTAAGGGGTAAAACCCTCGTTCATCTCTGGTCATGGATCTGATCTATCAGCTGTGTGCAAATGCAAAATGTTTCAGCAGAACAAATAGATGAGCTGAAGCGGGGGTGGTGTCCGGTGCCTCCACCTGAGAAGCACTTTCCCCGAAAAAAAACAAACAAACAAAAAAACACATGCGCAGACGGACGCTCAGAACAACATATAACGATCCAAACGGGATTCACGCTTCTGTCCGGATGCTGCACCACCTCGGAACCAGCCGCGGTCGAGCCCGGAGGACCGCAGCAGCCTGGACCTGTGGTCCACAGCGCATTCTCGCTTTTCCTGCACGGAACCAGCGCACAGATGACGGCACTGAAGCACTCGGATCCAGTCCTTTGCGCGCTGGTCTTACTCGCCCCCCGTCTGGAACCAGGACATGGAAGACGAAGCCTCCGGACAATCTGACCAACACTGGACCCCCAGCCCCGTCTTGAGGGGCTTTGGCGCTGCTGCCCGAGCTCAGAGCTTCTGCTCCAGGCTCCACGCATGTGCGGTGAGTTGCGTACAAAGTTGTACATGCTGCTGTTTTATGAGTGCTTCTATGCACGATCAGAAGAAATGCGACTGCTGCTCTGAATGCTTCCATCATCGTCGTCAAAGCAACAGGTAAACGTCGGTCGCACTTTCAGTGTGTCAGCTCCTAAAACTTCGTTTATCTCAATTTACACGCAAACGTGAAGCAGGAGTTTTCCAAAATCTCCACTCTAGCCGGAGTTTTTAGAAAGATTCGTTTTCAGAGGCGAATTCACCGTTTGTGTGTAAACGATGTGAACAAACGAAGGGAAATGTCTCAGTTTTTAAAAATACCCGTGTACATGTAAACGGGGCCTCAATGACAAAGGAATAAACACTAACCACCTGATTTCAGTGGCTACAGACGGCGCACCGAGTATGAGAGGGTCACAAAAGGGGTTTGTGTATCATGATGCTCATTTTGTATTTGTAGTCGACTTAGTCATTTTAATAGTCGGCTTATATAGTTAATATACTGACAGCCTATGTCGCCTTCATATTAGGCTTATATAAGGCTTTTCATTTTTTTCCAGGCAGGTCTGGTTTTTGTTTTTTTGGGCCAATATGGCTCTTTGAACATTTTGGGTTGCCGACCCCTGCACTAGACGGTTTGCAAGAACCCAGAAGTTGTAGACCGCACACTGACCAATCAGTGAAGAGCTGTGAAACCATGACATCAAACTCATCGTATCTGTCTGTGTCACTTTGTGGTGCAGCACAACAGTAACAAAGCGTCGAGATGGATGTAGACGAAGACAGACATTTTGTGCTGACGATTCCCAAGGTCGAGGATTTAAAGTTGGAACAAAGAGAATGTTTGAAGAAATTTGTCAAGGGAAAGGTGTTATTGTCCTTCTTCCTACGGGATTTGGTGCATTACATAAGTCATGACCAAAAAGCAGCGATTGGTTAAATTAAAAAAAAGTACCCACCTACTGTCGAGTGAACGAATCCTAATGCTGCGAGGTGTGGAAACCGGCTGAGGAATCAGACTGTCCATCACCTGTTTCAGTCCTTGAAGATGTTATTGCTTTACCTAGAATGTTCCACAGTATGAAGGAAAACATGGACAACGCCACCAGGCTAAATTACAGGTAATTACATTTAATGCTTAATTGTGGAACACTCTGTGACAATGCAATAACATTATAATAATATAATAATATTGAGACATCGAGGAATATTATGAGCTAGTAAGTCCAGGTGTTTTCCTTTAACTTGCTTATAATGTCTGACTTTTTATTTTTATTTTAGAATGAGATGAGTGATGAATATGAGAGTATCCATGACCAGGAAACCCCAATAGAGAACCGAGCCAAGAATAAATGAAAGGATGTTACAAGCTTCTGTATATTGCATTGAAATTTCCATGTAACAGTATGAACAAAAACATAGTTTATTTATCCAAACACGTTCCCAGTGAATTATATTGATATGATGAATCTGTGTGTGAAAATGTGAGTCAGTCATAGCAAACTGAACTAATAAACCATTGTAATTTTTTTCTGATTGAGGGTCAGTCACCTACCTGCTGCTGAAATATATTGATTTGACTTAGACATTCCACAGTAAGGCATTAAAGTTTTCTATCTTTAGTTTTTGTTTCTTAAAAAAATAATAAAACACTTTGGAAAGTATGCATTTTATTGTAGCAGGCATTACTGTAGTTAAAATTACAATTTAAAGCAAGACGTAACTAGAAAATCTTGTCTCTTTTAAAGTGTTACCTCCATCTAATCCTCTACTCTGCATCCTCTGCTCCATCTGACCTTCTACTCTGCTCCATCTCACCCTCTCATCTGTGTCCTCTGTTCCACCTCACTCTCTCCACTTTGATGAAGTTGGCAAAGCCCACTGAAAATAGGGTTTGGATTCCTTTATACTGAGGAACAGTAGTGTGGGGCAAAGATTACGCACTGGGGCAGTCAAAGATGGCTGGCTTCTCGGTGAGTTCAAAGCCACATGCACCTATAACTATAAGCCATTTACTCACCATTTCGGTGTCATTGTAGGTGACAGTGGTTATCCATTGACACAGTGCCTGCTAACCCCCGTCCCGAATCCACAGGACGCAGCAGAGGTCCGCTACAACCAGGCACACGCTCAGGCGCGCTCTGTAGTTGAAAGATCGGCGTACTGAAGTGCCGCTGGCACTGCCTGGATAGCTCAGGGGAGAAACTAATGTATAATCCCACAAAGGTGTCCCAAATCATCTTGGCCTGTGGGGTGCTGCACAATGTGGCCATAAGCCTGCGCATACCCCTCCCTCCTGACTTGGAGATGCCACAGGCCGATCCCCCGGATCCTGCGTCCCAGCAGCCAAACGAAGTTCACCTTCAACATTTGCGACGACACGTCATGATGCGTTTATGAATAAAGCAAGGTATGTTCATAATGTATAGTGCCACAGTATATTAATAAAAAGGCAAAATCACAGTAATTCCAAAAAAAAAAAAAAAAAACTTTATTTTTTGGCCAATTCTTTTAGTGACTCAGAGATTTCCCCCAACATCTTCTTTATGTCCCTCAGTTCCCCTGCCACATTGTTGATGGCGTCAACAGTCTCCCGCTGAAGCTGCAGCACCGCGTCTGTGAGAACCCGGCCTCCGCGTGGGGTAGCTGAAGGAAGGGCGGCTGCTGCTGCTGCGCTACCGAGGGGATGTCCCTCTGCACCGACCTCCTCCCCCAATGCTTGAGTTTCATAAACAGCAAACAAATGATTAATTAAAGTAGTGTTACATTCAAGTGTCTGTGTTCTTGATACCAGAAGTTACTACTAATTATTCATAGGCTAGGCCTACAGGATTTAACAAAAAATAAAAAGAGGTTAAAAAAAAAAAAAGGCCCAAAATTTTCTACAGCAACAATAACCAATAGCCATGTCCTTGCATGTTATTGTTTAATAATGGTAAGCTGAAATGAGATTAACTGATCAAATTCACTTACCTGCCTCCTGCATGTTGGTGTCCCCCTCCTCTCCTGTGACCACTCCCACCACACATTCTTCACCTAGAATGGAGGCCATTCGCTGCTCTTGGGGAGTTAGTGGCGGGGTACTCGGGCCTCCTCTGGTGCAACACAAACTTTGACGGTGCTTTTTCACTGTGACTTTCAGATACGACCATTTCCTTTTTATTTCTGTGACAGTGCAAACCATCCCACTCACCGCATTGCATGCAGTCACTACCTGCTCCCACTCACTTGTTTTTTTTTTTTTTTGTGATGCCACAAGTACAATATTGATTTGCATGCGTGCACTAGAATCTCAGCTTCTGCTTCTGAAAAGTTCCTTTTCTGCGTAGCCATGATCAGTGATATTCAAAGGAAGACGTGCCAGGTGGGCTCATTTAAATACCAATTAATATGTATTACGTCATTTGAATGGTCCGTATAAGGGCTCAGAAGGTGTGGTCAGGGCGGATTGGAAGGCGGGTTGGCATACGACAGCCTCCACCTTAGATATATTTAATGGAATATATTATTGGCTGCAGTGTAAAATATAAACTGTGCACGTTCCAGAGGCGATATTTGTATTGAAGAAGATTTTTGTAACATGTAGAGGCCATAGTGGGTGGAATAAGGTCAAACATTCAACGATGAGAGAGATGTGTGAACATCAGGAAATGTTTGCACAATAGCTGCTTGGGCAAGCGCACAGTATTTCTGTGGGTTTCCTGATTTTCATTTTTAATAAAAGCAGAAATTCATTGGTGTTAGTTCAGTCTGTTTTCTGTCATCATGGCCATGTACCTGCTGCTCTTCTTCTTCAGTAGTGAGTACTTATCTTATTGTAAACTGTCCACTTAATGTACCTATCGTGTGTATGAAGACTGTACTTTATTATAGATTTATATGTAAAATTCTCAGAAGAATTTCTTTGAGACACTAAGCAAGAGCATTAATCCATATTAATATTTCATAAGATTTTGAGGGTCATAGTGAAAAACAAAACAAAAATGGTGCTGTAAGTTTTCATATCAAGGATCTTTTAGATGAGGCTTTTTCAGCCCAGAGAGTCCAGAGCTCTAGACCTGTCCACTCTGAGTCTGGGTAATACTTTAATATCCAGTTACTGTGCTGGTCTGTGTAATCCCTCAGTCGTCCAGGTATGACCCATAACAAAAGAACAATTCAAATCTGTTGACAGAATCAAACATTTCTTTTTGATAATTTCTGTACTTATAGATTAAGATGTTTATTTTTTCCTCAACTCAAACAGTGGTTGTATTACTCACTCACACAGGTGCAGTTATGTTTGAGTGTTGTAGACAATAGTTCTCAGTGGTACAGCCTCTCCTCATGAGTTTACTAAAATACAACTTTTGCCATAAACATTTGTCTCAAATGTGTATGTTTGTTTTTATCTGCAGGTTTGTTCTGCTTGACCAGAGGACAAGGTAAACCCATGATTGTCTGAAGTCTGATGGTGCTTATAGATCTACTGATCAGAGACCAAGAGTGTAACATTTGACCTTGAAGGCGTCTAAACTTGGTTACACAATGACATGCAGTGTCTTGTGGTCATTTCCTCTTGTGAAATGGTGTAAGTGGGAGGGCTCTGCAGGTCTCCTGTCTCTGAGATGATCTGATCTGCAGTATTTGAAGTCCTCCATCTTAGATCCAGTTCTGTGATGTTGGTGAGGGACAGAAATCTCAATACAGTATGAAAACCTGTGTTACTGTTCAGAGAGGGATCACTCAAACCAAAAAGAGAAGTGTGATTACTGAATGACTGAAATGTTTGCAAGTGATGCATCATGGAAAAAAGATTATTTTCAACCACAGAATAGCATAATGAATTATAATATTTGCAAATGGCATAGGGTCAACTTTGTGGTTCTGTGTTTTAGATCAGAAGCCAGATATAAGTCTTCAGCATCATGACAGTGAGGTTCTCATTGGCTGCGCACTTCCTCCTTCTGCAACTGGTTCAAAGTGTAACCTGTATTTTGGAGAAGCCAAACAGCCACATTCTACAATCAACTCGTGGACAGTGTCAAAGGATCAAGGACTGTGCCATTTTTCTGTTTCCATGATGAAGTTTCAGGAAAATCTCAGTAAAGTTCAGAGTAAAGTGGTCAGCTGTGATTACGCTTTAGGAAATGGATCAAGCTCTCTCTCTCCTCGCAGTGATGGATTTGACTTGAGAGGTAAGTCTCAAAGCACACATTTAAAAGTTTAATTTTCCGTAAACAAATGTTTCTATGTAGATTTTATGAGCAAGTATCCATACCAGCCCCATGTGACCACAGCTTCATTGAATAATAAAGGTTACTCTTCAGGTAAGAATAATAATTTGAATTCTAATGAATTTGTATTAATGGTAAATAATAAATAAATGGAAATGCATTTGTTTAAGGTGCACAAATTTTCAGGTGGAAGGTCCACCAGGGTCCGAGCTGAACCCTGCCCTGTAGTGGCAGTTTTGTGTAATGCTTAAGCAGACTTTATAGACGAGGCACATTAGATCGAGCTCTTGTTACATGTTCTATAGACATCACATTGGTTGATATTTTATATTTTAACATGCTCTCTGTTCTGTCCCTTTTAATAATAATAATAATAATAATAATAATAATAATAATAATAATAATAATAATCAGTTTTTCTAGACAGTCAAAGATGCTTTACAGAGCATTAATCATTCACTCCACACTCTGGTAAGCTACTATTGTAGCCACAGCTGCCCCGGGGCAAACTGACATTTTAAACAAACTAATCATAAATGCATGAAAACACCCAGGATTGTAGCCATGGGTTAAATTCCATTTGCTCTAATAAAAAACTCTGAGACACCAGAGTACTTCAACACCAAAGGCAAAGTGGATGAAGTGTCCTGCCCAAGGGCACATTAGTGTCCACAGGTCCAAGTGGGGCTGTCACCCTTTAGCTTGGTGGATAAACAACTCTCTGAGACACTGAGTCGCTGAGTCTGAGTCACTCCATAAGATTTAGGAGAAGACATGCACATCTGTCAGACTCCAAAGAAAAACTATGTCACAACAAAAAGGTCCACACAGCTGTATGAGCCTGCAGTGTTGTTTTCTGCTTGCACCACATGGTTTCAGCAGACCTTCTTCTTGCTACATAGCTCCATAATATATTCTCTTCCAAGAATAGTTTACTTACAAGGTAAGTCAACAATACTAAACTAAACTGTAAGCTTATGGTTGCATAATTTGAAAACTGAATCATCTAGTTAGGCTTCCACTGATCTGTTTGGTTTTGAAACATAACTCTTCATCTTACTCAAGTTAACCTATTGATCCATATATAAAACAGACTCCTGATCTAATCCTGATGTGTTTTTCTAGTCATGTGTGAAAGACAATTGTGGCTTATGGTGCCAATGTCTTGTGCCTGTGGTGTCGTGATCGGGATTGTGGTGGTGATTTTTGGCTTTTTCTGCTCAATCAAGATAGAAGGTAACAAATATTCTGTCACTGATGTAAACATCTTCACACTGGGTTCACGCTCAACACGGTGCACAGTACCTGACAACAGGAGCTCACTTTCACATCAAACAGTACTTGTCTAATTTCTATAAAAAGATCCAGACTGCTGCAGTGGGAAAAATAGACTGGTGGGTTCTTCCACTGCCACACAGTTCTCAGAGACTAGAGTAACATTGATTTAATAAGTGTGTTGTGAGCTGCACCGATCCGTGTTTAGTGTCAATCTGGCCTAAGTGACATTTGCCCTGCTGATCTCACAAACTGATTTCTTTCCTCAGGCAAACATCTCTGGAGAGGGTAAGTGTGAATAATGCTCGATGGACTTATGTGTGTCAACTTTTATTTATTTATTGTTCATTTTTGAAAAGGGACAAACAATTAAGTCATCTGATACAGTGTTTATAACTGAGACTAATTTACAACACCAGTCCCCAAAAGGGCTTTTAAACAGTTCAGATTTCAATACAAAATAATAATATGTATAAAAAGCACTGAATTTCTCAAGAGAATCAAATGTATAGAAAGATCACACACATACAAACTCATGCACAGTACTACAGGTACAAACCAAACAGTAAACTACAAATGTGGTGTTGTAATAGATGCATCATGAATTTCGGACTTCCGCTCATCGCACAATTCATACTGGGAAGGATTTTCCAAAAAAAGTGCACATCAAACATGTTTGATTTCTCAGTGGGATGCGTCTGTTGTCAAAGCTGATCTTTTCAAGTCTTTTGAACCTTTTGTTTCTGATTCTGATATTGTCATATTTTAGTTTTGAGACTAGGACATTGTTTGCGAACTCCATAACTGCAAAAGTGAATCAGATGTGTGTGACTGCAAACCTCTGTTCAAACTGTTTCGCTTCCCAACGGAATTGAAAAATAGTGAAAGGTGAAGGTGATGGGCAGGATTGATCCACAGGAAGAACCAAAAAGGAAACATTTGGCTGCCTAAATCATCCCGAGTTTGCAGCAAACATTTTGTATGTGGAGCAACATCAAAGCAGGATCCCGATCCCTCACTCAACCTCGGTTACGAATTTAAAAAGTCAATGCCAAAGCGAAAGGCACCAACTGTTCGCCAAGAAACACCTTCCACTGCAAAGAGACCAAGATGTGATGGTGCTGTAAAGTCTAACAAGAAAGTGCAGCTCAGTCTGTTTGTTCTGCTCCTCTCACTTAACAAACGGGATCCTGCTTTGTTGTTGCTCCACATACAAAATGTTCGATGCATGATTTAGGCAGTCAAAGGTTTCCTTTTTGGTCCTTCCTCTGAATCAATCCTGCCCATCACCTTGACCTTTCACTATTTTTCAATCCCGTTGGGAAGAGAAACAGTTTGAATGGAGGTTTGCAGTCACACACATCTGATTCCCTTTTGCATTTATGGAATTAGCAAAACAATGTCCTAGTCTCAAAACTAAAATATGACAATATCAGAACCAGAAACAAAAGTGATATGGTTCAAAAGACTAGACAAGATCGGCTTTGTCAATAGATGCATCCCACTGGTTTGATGCTCACTTTTTCGGAAAATCCTTCCCAGTATGGATTGCGCAATGACCGGAAGTCCAAAATTCGTGATGTATGTATTCATTAAAGATGTACTTTATGTTCATAGTAGTATATATAGTAGTATAGTATACTAGTAGATCTTTCCATTTCTACACCAGCTCCCACCATTCTTTGATTGAAAGGAACCAAACTCTAAACGCCAAATGAATGAATTACCAATAACATTGTTCTGTCAACCTTGTCTTTTTTTTAAAGCTCTCAAGGCAGTAACCCAGGTAAAGAGCAGCTTTGCACATGTAACATTAAAGGGACAGTTCGGAATTTTGGACAGAGGACCTCATTTCCTAGTGATCCAGAGTGTTGGAGATGTGTGGAGACACTTTTTAAAATATTCCATCCAGTCCTTGTATTTGCAGAGGTGCTGGTGCTAGACTAGTGCATGTCAACGGTCATAGTTATCCTGCCGCTAAAAACAGTCTTACCCACTCCACAAAACACCCGAAGAAAATCTATTATTATGCCAGACTGTCCATGTGAATGTCTGTGTTGATAGAATAATGTTTGAAGTAACACCAACCTTGCATTTGAAGGATTTATGTCTGAGCAGCAGCGAGTTGTTCTTCCTGATAGAAATCTCAACAGTGGTGTACTGATATATGAGAAAATAGTCCCTCAACATGCGACGATTCATGTGATGCAAGGTTAGTTTTATTTCAAACATTATTCTGTCAACACAGACATTTACATGGACAGTCTGGTGTAATAATAGATTTTCTTCGGGTGTTTTGTGGAGTGGGTAAGACTGTTTTTAGTGGCAGGATAAATATGACCATTGACATGCACTAGTCTAACACCAGGAAAGACTGGATGGAATATTTAAAAAAGTGTCTCCACACGTCTCCAACACTCTGGCTCACGAGGAAATGAGGTCCTGTGTTCAAAATTCCAAACTGTCCCTTTAACCTCATGAAATTACACAGCATAATGTACATTTCTCTGTTGTAGGTCACAAGAACACACAGGGTGGGGGGCAGGTAAATGAAACACTATAACACTATAATGTTTTCTCAGTACTTTCTGCTGTGTTGAAGATGATATAGTAACTTTATATATATATATATATATATATATATATATATATGTGTTTCTCACCTTCCACGGTGGTAGGTCTCTCACCCTCATTGAGCTCGGGTCCTCTACCAGAGGCCTGGGAGCTTGAGAGTTCTGCGCAGTATCTTTGCTGTTCCCAGTACTGCACTTTTCTGGACTGAGATGTCCGTTGTTTTTCCCGGTATCTGTTGAAGCCACTCTTCCAGTTTGGGGGTTACAGCCCCGAGTGTCCGATCACCACAGGCACCACTGATGCCTTTACTTTCCAGGCTCTCTCCAGCTCTTCCTTGAGCCCCTGGTATTTCTCTAGCTTCTCGTGTTCCTTTTTCCTGATATTACCATCGCTTGGTATTGCGATGTCCACCACCACGGCTCTGCTCTGTTTCTTTTCCACCACCACTATGTCTGGTTGGTTCACCATCACCATTCTGTCAGTCTGTATCTGGAAGTCCCACAGGATCTTGGCTCGGACGTTCTCCACAACCTTTGGAGGTGTTTCCCACCTTGATCCTGGGGTTTCCAGCCCGTACTCTGCACAGATGTTTCTGTACACTATGCCCGCAACTTGGTTATGTCGCTCCATGTATGCTTTCCCTGCCAGCATCTTACACCCCGCAGTTATGTGCTGGACTGTCTCAGGAGCCTCTTTGCACAGTCTACACCGTGGGTCTTGTCTGGTGTGGTAGATCTGGGCCTCTATTGCTCGAGTGCCCAGGGCCTGCTCCTGAGCAGCCAGGATCAGTGCCTCTGTGCTGTCCTTCACACCAGCCCTCTCAAGCCATTGGTAGGATTTCTTGATATCAGCCACTTCAGTTATGTTCCGGTGGTACGCCCCATGTAGGGGTTTGTCCTGCCATGATGGTCCCTCCAGCACCTCTTCCTCTGGACCCCACTGTCTGAGACATTCTCTGAGCACCTCGTCTGTTGAGGCCTTGTCCTTGATGTACTCAAGGAGCTTGGATGTTTCATCCTGGACAGTGGTTCCCACACTCACTAGTCCTCGGCCTCCTTCCTTCCGGCCTGCGTACAGTCTCAGGGTGCTGGATTTGGGATGGAACCCTCCATGCATGGTCAGGAGCTTTCGTGTCTTAACATCTGTGGTCTGTATCTCCTCCTTTGGCCAGCTTACAATCCCTGCAGGGTATCTGATCACTGGCAGGGCGTAGCTGTTGATTGCCTGCACCTTGTTCTTGCCATTGAGCTGGCTTCTAAGGACTTGCCTCACTCTTTGCAGGTATTTGGCCGTAGCCGCTTTCCTTGTTGCCTCTTCGAGGTTGCCACTTGCTTGTGGGATACCAAGGTACTTGTAACTGTCCTCAACGTCTGCTATTGTTCCCTCTGGGAGTGACACCCCCTCTGTGTGGACTACCTTCCCTCTCTTTGTCACCATCCTGCTACATTTCTCAAGCCCGAATGACATCCCAATGTCTGTACTGTAGATCCTTGTGGTGTGGATCAGTGAGTCGATGTCTCGCTCACTCTTAGCGTACAGCTTGATGTCATCCATGTGGAGGAGGTGACTGATGGTGGCCCCGTTTCTGAGTCGGTATCCATAGCCAGTGCGGTCGATTATTTGGCTGAGGGGGTTCAGGCCTATGCAGAACAGTAGTGGGGACAGTGAGTCTCCTTGGTATATGCCATATATAATATATATATATATATATATATATATATATATATATATATATATATATATATATATATATATATATATATATATATATATATATATATATATTTTTTTTTTTTTTTTTTTTTAACCAACCTGTTGAGTGTAATATTTGATGTTTCTAGTTTCCTGTTGACATAAACAACTCTGCACCAGTGTCAACCATCTACAGTTCAACTGGTAAGGCCCTGCTGTTGTTGTTTTTTAATTTTTTTAATTTTTTTTATTTTTGGTGATTATTGATTGAAGTCTATGTTTTACAGGTTCTGAGGCTGTAGACAATAGGCCGATTCACAATGAAGATGAGTACGATGACGTGCGGCCCAGTCGAATCTACATGTCTTTGGTATGACGACTCATTCTAAACAGAGCTAATCAACAAGTAAAACACAGGCTTAAAGGTGCATTGTGCAACTTTTCACCTGCTTGTCTCCATGGAGATGTTATTGCTTTGCTTGGAATGTTCCATGGTATGACATTAGACACATCTATATTGCATATTTATTCATTACAGATGTTTCTATTGCTTAAAAATACACTAATGATCTCTGTGAATAGGGTGGCCTCTCCACAGATCTGACCTATAATGTAGCCTATAGTTGTCTCCCCTCAGGGAGCTTAATCTCCACCATGGAACATTTTAAACAAAGCAATAACATCTCCATGGTGACATGCATGTGGCCGACCATCCTCCAGAAAAGCTGCACAGTGCACCTTTAAAGCTGACAGTTCATACTCATGTTTATGACACATATTCTGTTGTTCATGTGTTCTGCACTATTTACTTCAAAGCTGCTCCTTTTGTTCTTCAGCTGAGTTCAAATCTCCACTAAATTTTTATTTTTTTTGTACTTGAATGGTTAATTGTGAAGCACTCAGGCATTTTTACCTCCGCCAAGGAGGTTATGTTTTTGCCGGCGTTTGTCTGTGTGTTTGTTTGTTTGTTTGTCTGTTAGCAACATAACTCAAAAAGTTATGGACCGATTTTGATGAAATTTTCAAGATTTGTTGGAAATGTGAAAAGGAATCACTTTGAAATTTTAGTAAACATTGTGGTAAATGGGGCCAAAAATTTTGTTTCTCAATATCTCAGTTAATTATTGACCAAACCCCATGAAATTTGACTCAGGGATGGACAATCGGATCCTCTTTCATATTCCAAAGGCTGATCCGAATCTGAGCCAGAAGACTGATTTTATCGCAATTTATATAAAAAATGGGGGTAGTCCTTGGCGGAGGTCTGCGCTCTCTGACTGCTTTTCTTGTTAAATGTGCTTTTGCATGATGGTTGATAATCTCTCTTATTTGCTTTGGTATGAGCATCGAACATGAATCTCATCATCTTTTCAATACTTTATGAAGATGTGAGTCTGGTCACCGCTGAATCTGCCCAAGTTCAGATGGGAGTGACTGACAAGTGGATTAGTCAATCGAGGACATACATGGTTTTGTTTTTGTGTATTAAAACAAACATGGCTGCTTATGGGGGAAAAGAAAACTTTGCAGATTTCTGCAGAATCAGTGAGCAAAGCATTAAACCACATAAGCCACTGAAACAGACAAATCTGATTGGATGAAGCTATGAATCTAACTTGAGGTGTGACAAAGGGAGTGGTGATCAGACTGATGTCATTCTGAGTTTGCCAGGCAAGCCAGTGCCCAAATACTTATTGATTTATCACTGATTGTCTAAAGTGAAAGCTCCAAAAGCTCAGACTGAACAGTTGCAGAACTGAACAAATGACCAAGCTACACTTAACACTGATGGACCAGGCTTTATGTTCAGTGAGTAGTTTTATTTTCACCAATGTGGAATATTGTAAAAGTAGCACTTTGTGACAAAATCTGATCACTGAGCACTGTCTGCATATAATTATAAAGCGTTTCATCAATCACCAACTCTGGAGAAGGAGCCATAAGCCTCAGTACAGACTGACAGAGCGTCTACACTGCTTCACTTTGCTGTCTGAAAAGCAGAGCCCTGTACATGCCTGAACATTCATGTGAACAGTAATGAAGTGCCAGAGGGTTTGTGAGAGCTAAGACCTACCTGCTCCTTTTGCAGTTTGAAAATTGAGTAATGCAGTTTTAAATGAAGTTTTAAGTAAGAAAGTAAGAAAATGTGAGTAATATACTTGTGTTGTGTTTTTTCTTTTGTTTTTAGATTAAAACAAGTGATGTCTATGCCACTATCCATAACCAGCAAACTGCAACCCCAAGGAACATCAACCTTGTGTGAAAAATGGTTGTAATGTATATTTATTTGTTCAGACTTTTTGTCATGAGCATTTTTGCATTTGTACTTTTGTTTCTTTGTTTTTCTTTTTTTATAAAGGATTAAACATGTCATTCTCTCATTGAAAACATACCTGGTGTTCTATTTTACAGTGCTGGGTCTTCTGTGTTGGCTGTTTTGTGGTTACATCATACGCATTTGAAACTGTGGGTCACAGCTTAAAAAGAGACACAGGAAGTTGTCTCTATGCACAGTAACTTGCCATTGCCTTGTATTTAGGGTTTATTGTTTTCTCTGTTTTTTGCATGTGATAAGATATTGGGGATGGATTACTAACTTTTTAATATTGTATTTTACTTGTATGTTTAATATTTCCACTGCAAACTGTAAGTCTGTTGATCACATCTCTACATCTCACTCAGTGATTAAAACATTTGCATAAATTCACATCTGTAATTTACCGAAACATCATATTTTTACTGATATAAATACAATATCAGCCGTATCACTTGTTGGTTGTTGTGAACAATAATCACATTATATTCATTTCATACTTACAGCTTGCTACAACCAAAGTGTAAAATGTTCTGCTCAGTAACTTTGAATGATTCCTGCTGCTCTGTTTTATGACACAAACTGCAGAAGCTCTGGAAGATTCTCAGCTAAAGATAACATTTATAATTCGACAATACAACATCTTAGATTAGATTGGCTGGTGTGATTCTAGTTCCCACAGATGAATGCTGTTGTTGTGTCCTTGGGCAAGACACTTAACCCACCTTGCCCACAGTGTCTGCATACACTGGTGTGTGAATGTGTGAGTGAAGGTGCAAAAGTGCTATAGAAAAATGACTCAGAAACCCTCTGCTAGTCGCTTATAACACTGTGAGTCACAGTTTCAAGAAATTGTCTCACATAATCATGTACCATTTACACCTTTTAGTCTCTACTGATTTCTCTGGATTTTGCATGTTATAAGATATTGGGGATGGATTTATTTGCACTTTACAAATTTTTAATATTGTATTTTACTTGTAGGTTTAATATTTCCTCCGTAAACTGTAAGTCTGTTGATCACATCTCTACATCTTTTTCAGTGATTTAAATATTTGCATAAGGTGACATCTGTAATTTACCGAAACAACATATTGTTATCGCTGTAAATACAAAATCAGTCGTATCACTGTCTGGTTGTTTTATCATAGAATAGAAACATTTGTTTGTTTAATGTTTGTCTGCTTTCGTTTCCTGTGTTAGGAAATGCCTGATCAATGTTCACACTTTACTGCTGTTGCTTCATTTTATTGCACTTATGTTCTGCATATTTTTGTAGATTTTATTAATAATATTACATGAACTATTCATATTTATTATTGTCATTGCATTCATCTCTTATTTAGCACTCGCTGTTTTACCACATGACATTCCAAGGTGGAACAAAGTGTTGTGAGCAGAACACAGCCTAAATGTGCAGGGTTTGTGTCTCAAATGTGTGAATGTAACAAAACACAACTCCAGAGACGGAGCTGGTGTAAGTTCAGTCTGGAAGACCTAACGAGGTTCCCGTTTATCTCAGTGCCTTTCCAGAGCTGATCTTCATCCCAGCCGCTTCACACTCGGCTGCAAACCGCCCCAGTGCACGTTGCAGGTCCTGGTTCGATGGAGCCAACAGGACAACATCATCTGCGAACAGCAGAGATGAGATCCTGTGGTCCCCAAACCGGACCCCCTCCGGCCCCTGACTGCGCCTAGAAATTCTGTCCATAAAAACAATGAACAGAACCGGTGACAAAGGGCAGCCCTTGCAAAGTCCATCATGCACCGGGAACAGGTCTGACTTACTGCCGGCAACGAACACAGCTCCTGCTCCGGTCATACAGGGACCAAACAGCTCTTAGCAAAGGGCCCCGGACCCCATACTCCTGGAGCACCCCCCACAGGACACCACGAGGGACACGGTCGAATGCCTTCTCCAAGTCCACAAAACACATGTGGACTGGTTGGGCAAACTCCCATGAACCCTCGAGCACCGATGGAGAGTGTAGAGCTGGTCCAGTGTTCCACGGCCAGGACGAAAACCACACTGCTCTTCCTGGATTCGAGGTTCGACTATCGGACGGATTCTCCTCTCCAGTACCCTGGCATAGACCTTACCAGGAAGGCTGAGGAGTGTGATTCCCCTATAGTTGGAACACACCCTCCGGTCCCCCTTCTTATACAGAGGGACCACCACCCCGGTTTGCCAGTCCAGAGGTACTGTCCCCGACCGCCACGCGATGTTGAAGAGGCGTGTCAGCCAAGACAGCCCCACAACATCCAGAGACTTAAGGTACTCAGGACGGATCTCATCCACCGCCGGAGCCTTGCCACCAAGGAGCTTTCCAACCACCTCAGTGACTTCAGCCAGTGTGATGGATGAGTCCGCCTCCGAGTCCCCAGCCTCGGCCTCCTCCTCGGAAGACGTGACGGTGGGATTGAGGAGATCCTCAAAGTATTCCTTCCACCGTCTGACAACATCCCCATATGGACCGTGCATGTTCCACACTGGCCAATCCACCTGTCAGTCACGGCCCTTTCAAAACATCTTCATAAAGTGTTATAGAAGTGTGTGTGTTAAGTGTGTATTCTGGATCTCAGGAAACTCTTTAGTGGCATTTAGAAGTCAAAGTGGGCGGGGTAAGGTCAATGATATCTAATGTATAAATCTATCTTGGACTTGTGAATTACTTCATTCAACACTAAGATCACTTGTAGTATAAATATCTTCTGCATTTTGAGATGACAGCGTGATGAATGTATGTGTGAACCATGTATGTGTGAACCAGTGCTTTAGGTGTGATATCTCTTCTCACCATTTCTTTATTGGATACTTGGTTGTTTTATACTAAATAATTGTATTTTATTTCAGATCTGAACTAGTGGAGGTTTCAGCTTAGACTGTTTCGATACACCAGACCACATTTTGCATCGACAATATTATCAATAAATCAATGTTTTAAGCACATCTAATCAGGACTATTTATTTTTTTGCAGTCAGACATTTTGTTTTCACTCTTGCAGACCAGAATAAGCTGCAAAACTTTTCTTCGGTTATCTCTGGCTGGTAAAATACATTCAGTAATCCTCACGCACGACGACAACACATGAAAAAAGAGCGTAGTAACTGTAAAAACAACACACTAGATCATCGATGGACAAGTAAATCATATAAAACTTCTACATATATATATAAAATGCAGTGGAAAATGTCTGCTTTCATACCTGACCACGCTTTCTGTGTGTACTAAAGCACATGGTGTTTCTGTGGTTTTCCTGACATCACTTTATAATAAAAGCAGAACTTCCTGGTGTTAGTTCAGTCTGTTTGCCATCATCATGGCCATGTACCTGCCACTCATCTTCTTCAGCAGTGAGTACTTATTTAATTATAAACTGTCCAGTTAATGTACTTCTCGCATGTGTTTTTATACCATATTTTTATTTTATTATAGATTTAAATGTAAAATTATCAGAAGAATATCTTAGCAAGAGCATTAATCCATTTCAGTATTTGACTTTTTGAGGGTCATAGTGAAAAATTTAACAAAAATAGTGCTGTAAATTTTCTTATCGAGGATTATTGAAGCCTCGTCTAAAAGATTTATCCAGAGAGTCCAGAGCTCTAGACCTGTCCACGCTGAGTCTTAATAAGTAATACTTTAATATCCAGTTACTTTGCTGGTCGGTGTAATCCCTCACTCGTCCGGGTATGACAAAAAAAAAAAGCAAAAGAACAATTCAAATCTGTCCACTGGAGAGAGGTTTTTAGTTGAAGTTAGATGCTTTCTAATCTAAGAGAGCACATTACCTCAATCCTCGCGTCGTCGCACTGGTTTCCTGTTGATTTTAGAACTGATTTTAAGATTTTAGTGTTTGTTTTTAAAGCTTTGAACGGTCTTAAACCTCGTCCAAATTTATCCCCCCGCGCAGTGTTGGGGAGTAACAGATTACATGTACCGGAGATATGTAATCAGAGTACAAATTATGAGTAACTGTATTCAGTTACAGTTACTTTTTCAGGGAGTGGTAATTGGATTACAGTTACTTTGTTGAAATAAATGGATTACACAGCGGTATTTTCCTGTTTTCACATTTTGGGCTATAATCCCCCCCACCCCCACCCCACCCTTTTTTTGTTGTTTTTTTTTCCGGTAATTACACTCATTGCCGGAAACTAAACCAGGTCTAAACCAGGACTAAACCAGGTCTAAACTAGATCTAAACTAGACCTAAACCAGGTCTAAAACAGGTCTAAACCAAGACCAAAACCAGGTCTAAACTAGATCTAAACTAGACCTAAACCAGGACTAAACCAGGTCTAAACCAAGACCAAAACCAGGTCTAAACTAGATCTAAACTAGACCTAAACCAGGACTAAACCAGGTCTAAACCAAGACCAAAACCAGGTCTAAACTAGATCTAAACTAGACCTAAACCAGGACTAAACCAGGTCTAAACCAAGACCAAAACCAGGTCTAAACTAGATATAAACTAGACCTAAACCAGGTCTAAAACAGGTCTAAACCAAGACTAAAACCAGGTCTAAACCAGGACTAAATCATGCTGTGTGGACGTGTCTTCTCTATCAATAATATTTTTAATTTGGTTCAGTAAAGTCTGGGCTTTTGATTTTCTTTTAACAGACAAAACATCTTATGTTACTATGTCTTTGCTTCTCTACAGCAAATCAAGTAATCCAGAGTATTCAGATTACATTACTCACTTTAGGTAATTTAATGAATTACGTTACAAACAACTTTTTGGTGTGTGTAATCTGTAATCTGTAGGGGAATACATTTTAAAAATAACCTTCCCAACACTGCCCCCGCGCTCGCTCGCTCGCTCGCTCTGAGGTCCGAGGTCCGGCTCCAGCTCTTGGGGCCTAAGACGAGACTTAAAACCAGGGACCTTCTCTGTGGTTTTTGGTCTCGTTTTAAGCCCCACTTTTATTTTCTGGCTTTTAACACCAGCGTGAGTTGTGTGCTCCTCTGTTTCTTTTATTTATTTAATAGATTTTATTGGCTTTATTTATGTGTTTATTGCTATTCTGTGATTGTGCTCTTATTTTATTTGACTGGTTTTATTATTTTAAGACTAGTATGATTAAATCTAAGCGTTTATTTTATCATTTGGCCCGAGCCAGTAACGAAGTAACTAGGACTATTGTTCTCGCTCGGTTTCTTCCGCTCTTTTATGACATGAACAACATGATTAACATTATCGGATTGTTATCAAATTTGGGAATTAAATTCTATGCATGATTGCAAGTCAAAAAGTCTATTACGGACATGGTGCATTTTTCATATTTGGCCAGCAGGGGCGCAAAGAATCCCTCAAAATATAGTTTAAAAATTATTACATTTCCATGTTTAATATGATTGTGCTGAAATTTGAATCACTAATGCCTGATCCCAGCCTGAATATAATAAACTATAAACCATATGAGAAGTGAACACTATAGCGCCCCCTACCATAGACATGAAATGTCAACATTATCGGATTAGTACCAAATTTGGGAATAAAATTCTATGCATGATTACAAGCAAAAAAGTCTATTACGGACATGGGGTAATTTTCACAGTTGGCCAACAGGGGCGCAATGACTCCTAAAAATATTTAAAGGTGCATTATGTAATGTGTCTAATGGACGAGCTGTCAGGCCTGGGCGGATGTCGGGAAGAGAAAAAGGCAGTCGGGGCAGTCACGAGTCCCCGGCGGTCGCGTGGGGGGGAGTGTGTGCGTGCCGGGGCGAGGGCCACCATCCTCGGTTATGGTGGTTATTACGGACATGATAAATTTTCGACCACTGGCCAGCAGGGGCGCAAAGACTCCCCCAAAAAATTGTTAAAAAATTATTACACCCACAGGCTTAGTCCGATCGTGCTGAAATTTGAATCACTAATGTGTGATCACGGCCTGAATATAATAAACTATAAAACATATGAAAAGTGAACTCTATAGCGCCCCCTACCATAGACATGAAACGTCAACATTATTGGATTTGGACCAAATTCAGGGATTAAATTCTACACATGAATACAAGCAAAAAAGTCCATTATGGACATGGGGCATTTTTCACTGTTGGCCAGCAG